TGTGTGTGTGTGTGTGTGTGTGTGGGAAAAAAGGCGACAACGACTACGACTACGGCGGTGGTGGCAAAGCAACGGAGGGGAGAGAGAAATCAATGCAAGACCACGAGATGCGCCCCTCTGCGCTCGCGTGTAATTAAAGCAGACTTGAATGGGAGCGAAGGATTGACAGCAACGGAGTGCATTGGTTAAATAAACACAACTCTCCTTTCGTTCAAATAGCAGCCCAGCCCCCCGGCGTTTTGTAATGGAGCACATAGAATGCACTTTTTCTTCACTTTCGTAGAAATAACGACCCACACCCTTAAATGTCAATTAGCATGTGATGAATGGACAGAAGGATGGATGGAATATTGGCAAGATAGGCGGACGAATAGCCAGCTAAATGGTGAGGACGGGTTCAGTGTCTGGATAGGTATCGTTTTAACTCTGCCCCACAAAACACAGAAAGGAAAGCGGACAGGTTTGACTGACAGTTGATGCTGCTGTTGTTATCATCGACATTATACAATCACGGATGTCAAATGCAAGCTGTCCGACTGTCATCGGCACTGCGTGCCTTCGTTGGAGTGACAGATAGACAGCTAGCTAGCTAGCGAGGCAGAGAACGAACAGCGGAGCGAGAGACATGCCCATCACCTGTCAACCTACGCGCGCGCACTAAGTCAGTCTGTCAGTCAGCCTCGCTGGCTCAACACTCCATCTCGCTCGTTTTCATGACGCTCTCTCGTTTGCACGTATGTGTACGTACAGGATTTCATGCCCCATTTACCTTTAATCTGGCACCACTTTCCCACCTTTTATTCATGCACTCGTGTTTTTTGACACGTAGCATGTGCTTACCCGACTTTCCTCGAAGTAACATTTAATGGGAAAAGTAAGAAGTGGACATGCTTTTACATCTGCGAAGTTAAATAAATCTGCTCAACGCACATTTACTAGACTAAAATTAGGAGGAGTAGTGAGGAATTAAATTGGAGGCAAAAAGAATATGAATAACACAGAAAAAAGAAAAATGAAGTGAAACCTACCACGTTCTTCTTATCCGAATCGAAGTGATCAGGTTGGAGGTAGGCTGATACTTCACTCATTGTCCCACTCTGCATCCTGCTAGTGACCTTGGAGTGGAATAAATCCGCGAGCTTGATAGTTAAAGACTAGGTGAGCGTGCAGACGACGAAGAGACTCACTCGAAGCCGGCTCTTCAGAAATGACTCCTTGATGTCGCCGCTCCATCAATTCACGTTTACAACTTGACCAATCGCAGCTCTCCTATAGGTGATTGGTCCCCGTCGGAAACTAACAGCCAATTAAATGGCGTACTCCATCTGCCCAATGAAATTTGTGAAACGTGCGAATGAGAGGGGGTGGTGGTGGTGACGGCTTTGTAATGGATTTTCAAGGTGACACACGATCCAACCCCCTCCCTCGTCTCCACCGCGCGATCAACGGACTGTCACCTGTATTCGCGAAATAGACAAAATTAAACTTCTCATGTGAAGTTAATGACGATTTATCTACCATAAACCATCTTGTGAATGCACACCAACTACTTCATAGATCACAGCAAAGGGAGTTTGGAGGCCCTTAAGTTAACTGCAGGTCGTCAATTAATTTTTTCTACTTAGTTGAAGTGTGAGACAGAGGGCATGTTTCAAGGGTGAAGCTTAAACTCGGGTAAAAATTGCTACTGGGTCGTGCAACCATTTAAGGCTAGTCGAAATTCAAATCAATTCGAGGCGTAACTGAAGCTAGATTTATTTATCAGAGTTGGATCTGGATCGAATTCCTAAGAGACCTTGATTTCGCTACTTGTAATTTGCTATGTATGGCAAAATCGATACAGACAAATTTAGCTATCCTGTTTTGAGTATAAATTTGGTATCTTATTAAACAATTTCCTATAAAAATCCGACTTGTTTTAAAGTTATTTAGGTCTGCCTACCAACCTACCTATCTCACAACATTAAAGAGAAATATTTTTTTCGATTTATGGGTTCTCGAAGCATTCACGAGTGCCTCTATAGCCACCGAATAAGAGGGTGGTGACATCAGTCCAGAGTGTGTGTGTGTGTGCAAGAGAATTATGAGAGTAATAAAACCTCTCAGATGTATTCAACTCTCGCCTCACGTCAATTCGGCTCGGCTCATTTCTTTGACACAACTAAATCCACATCTATTACAAGTGGAACCCGCGCAATCTCATCTCTGTTTCAATTGCCTAACACTGATTTTCCCCAATTCCGCTGGAACAGCGTGAAACAAGCTTCTTTGAAGGAGAAGGATTAAACATTGAAGATCATGTGACACAAATGTAGTACCTTGAAACACTACACCTCAGTAAATATGTATTATATCAGAGCTACCGATTTTCGCTATAGTAGATCACCTTCGTAATCAGTAATGTGAGTGGTTTACGACTCCCCATTCAACTGCCAAAGGCATAGCTCAGATGCGAGCCTGTTATTTAGTAAAGCCCAAAAGGGGTACTATAAATCACTTATTTTGCAGAAGCGGACCATCTTCCACTTTTTTGCATAAAATACAGGCTTTTGATGGCCATGTGACACTGACAGATCCTCCCCAAGCCTTCCACTGAGGTGAA